GCCGTCGAAGATGGCTGGACATGGGATGGCGTGCAGCCGGGACGTGCGGGGTTCTGGTGATCAGCAGCAGACGCCAGCGGCGGCTGTGCCGCTCACGAGCCGGCCACGAGCCGTCTACGGCGCATGCCTGTGGCGCGGGCGGGCACGACCGCACGCGGTCGCTCTCCAAAGGCGATAAAAACACGCACGCTTCCGTGATGAGCTGCGCTCGTGACCGGGACCAAGGCCGCATCAAATGCCAGCCATTTGCCGCACTTACGGGCGAAACTCACAGGAAATTATTTCCGATTGCTGCTCAGTGCGTCACGCGTCCGCACAAAACTAAATATACTACGCCTTTGGGCAGATGATAGCTGACGAAAACCGCGCTCTACATGGGGCCAGGGAGTAACCGCGCTATTGCGTAGGACCAGGGGCGGCGCGCCCCCTCCCCCGCCTGCCGGCAGGGAGATCAAGAGTATGTTTTTGCCCTTAATTTTTATGGGACTTCACTTTTCTCAACTAAAAACACTGTACTTACCCATAGATTATCAAAATGTAGGGCAAGGAGACCCTCATAACTGAACTAGAGACTAACAAATCAGGCTCGGAAGATCCTTTCCACATCGCGAGATCCATTTTCTGGACCATGAGGCTATCTTTACGAATAAGCTGCCCATGCTCTAAATTAGTTCAAGGTTCAAGAGGCCCCTTTGCTGCCTCGGGAGGCCTCCCCCCCCCGTCACGAACTGGGGTGTCCCTGTTCTGAGTACGGAGGCACCCTCTATATTCAGGCGGCCTTATTTCTGGAACTGGAGGCCCATTTTATCCATGAGATGGACGCAGTTTAGGACCAATATGTCCTGTTTTGTGATAACGAGGCCCTTGGCTAGATTTGAATTCTTCTCCGTGGATTGGAAGCATCCTGTTCTAGGTTAAAAGTCCACTCTATGAATTAGGGGCCCTTTTCTGGAACAGGTAGCCCTATGTTAGGATAGCGAATCCCTTTGCTGGATAATCAGAAAACCCTCATACAATACTTCTTTGGTTTTCCTGTGGGGAGGACCCATTTTATTCAGGAGGCATCCTAGAAAATCCTGCTCCCACTCAAATTCGTACCACCTCCCCCGTGGGACAATTACCGTGTTGAACTAAAACAGCATGAGGGCCCGCCTCTGACTCGACGTCTTTATCCCCGATCTTTGTACCTTTCTGTCCATATGAAGCAGGCCGCTAAGTGTTGGAAATTTAGTTACATCATAACAGCATGGCATTCCTTTCCCTTGTAGATAATGCTGTCGACGTCCGACATCCGGTTCTCCTGACACGACAAACGAACCTCACTCATTACCGCAGATGCCTTCTAGGGAGAGAGCGGAATATATCTATGGTTTGCGGATTCGCCTTACGTTGAGCAGAATTAAAAAGTTCCTCCGGCCGTACCGCGGGCTATTCACGTGACTATAGCTGACTGGTGGGACGGCGATGAGCCTGCCGGCATGCTTTGCGTGAGACCACCGCCCGCTGAACGGACGCGACGGCATGGCTCCGGGTGAGACTACTGCTCGCTGAACGGACGCGACGGCATGCCTCTGGGTGAGACTACTGCTCGCTGAACGGACGCGACGGCATGCCTCTGGGTGAGACTACTGCTCGCTGAACGGACGCGACGGCATGCCTCTGGGTGAGACTGCTGCTCGCTGAACGGACGCGACGGCACGCTCTGGGTGAGACTACTGCTCGCTGAACAGACGCGACGGCATGCTCTGGGTGAAGACCTCGTTGGGTGTCTAATGAACTGACTTTTTTTTCTGGGTGCCTGGTCAACTGACATTTCCTTTCACCAGCTCTGTCGAAGGCTGGTTAACAGAAATGCTCTGAACACCTGAGAGTCACCCAATACAACAGCCACTTCGCACCATTTAAGGAGCCGTTTGTGCCCACGTCTGTGCACATGACTGAACAAAGCTGATCGCGTTAAGGACAATACACTTACGCTACAAAATCCAGTCGAATCCGAGGATAACGCACACCGCAGCCAAAAACTCCGGCTCAACCGGTTTATTGTCAGCGAGCGTGACCGGACGCGTCAGAGCAGCGGCCCGTTTGCCTTGTACACTGAGTAGGGTTGACACGTAGGGCTCCAGCGCAGGCGCACGACACAGGGTCAAGAGCACGCTCGCGGCCGTCGGCACGCACGCACGGCAGGACGACGAACGACAGCGGACGCCTAAATTGGAAGCCGCGCACGCACAGCCAACGCGCCGGCCTTGACCTGCCCGTCTCGATGCTGTCGGACCATCGTCATACGGAAACAGGTCGAGCTGTTGGCGGATGTGAGAATGAGGATGTCGAATTAAGTCGAACTGATGTCGAACCCACTGATGGAGGGATGT